TAGCGCAGTAAAATTATTTTTACCCGGTTTTAGTAAAAATAGAGAAACAACAGGGAAAATTAGTATTAAATTAATGAATTCGAACAAACGTTATCTCCAGTTGTTTAAAATCACCATTTTACCCTTATTTCAATATTTAGAAATAGTGGATTGTAAAATTTTGTCTGGGCCTACTTTCATTTGTAGATTTCCCTACTTTCATTTGTGGATTTCCCTACTTTCATTTGTGGATACTTTCAATTCAGATTTCCGTTATTCTGAAAGAATTCCCTGAATTTGATACAATGGAATAGACAACCAAAAATGAATACATCTAGACTTCAAAAATCATAAAAAAGTGTTTTTAGTATATTCCAGGAGAATGTTTGCTATTTTTTAGGCTGTTTCTAAGTGGATTATCAGTTGCAAGATAGTTTTGTAATTGCAGACTTAATGCTTATTTGTGAGATATGAGTTTTTTCATTTTAGTGTTTTATATAATTTGTAATTTTTTTTTACAATAACCCATGCCTTTTAATAAATATTTGTTACAGATATTCATGGGCATTTCAGTTTCACCTATGGGATGTTGTTTTAAAAACGTTGGTTGGTTTTTATGGGACTTCACCTATGGGACTTTGGCTTAAGGAAGTTGTTTTTTTTTTATGGGACTTACGTTGCTTGGCTTTTATGGGTTTAACTTTATAGAATTAACATTGGTTGGGTTTTATGAATTTAGCGTTGGTTTTTATGGAACTTCACCTATGTGACGTTGGTTTAAAAATTTGAGTTTTCTGGGACTATCTAGGTTTCTGGGCTGGTGGCTTTTATGGATTTAACACGGGCTTTTATGAAACTTCAATTATGGGATATTGGTTTAAAAATGTTCGTTTCCATGGGACTAACATTGGTTGGTTTATATGGGTTTAACATTGATTTTTATGGGACTTCACCTATAAGTCTTTTTTTTTTTAAAGTTCATATTATTTTCTTTATGTGCTATAACGGAAAATAATACATTTAAAACTTAATTTTGAACTCAGTTTCGTGAAATGTATTACACAAGAAAATTATTATCAAAATAAGTGCAAAAATGTGCCGTTTTGTTTTTCAGGAAACTAACTACACGTTAAATAATCTGTAAACAACTGATGAGAAATGAATGTGCTTCAAGTGCTGCGAATAAAGAGGTAAACGAAAAGTAAATTTCAAATGCAATATTTTTGTTTTACATTCATTCACACAAACACTGTTCTAGATTTCTGATATAAACGTTGTAATAATTGTATTACTTGTATTCCAAAAATGTCAAAATGTTTGGTAATTCGAAAAAATATTTCCAGGAATGAATTTATTAATTTTTTTTTAATAAATCAAAATTTTTAACCTGAAATATTCGTAAAGTCCTACTATTTGTGATTAACATTAAAATAATTTTGTTTAGTAATTTTTTTCTAATGTGTTTCATAAGTAGAAATCAGATATTTATTATATCAAATATTTATATCAGCAAAACCAGGAAATTCATTTGCTGTACCTTACGCAGAAAGTACAGCTAAAGAGCAGCACTCTTTCGTTATGAAGCAGTCTTTCACTATGAAGTAACTTGAAATAATTATCATTGTTTGTTGATGAAGTAATTTTCATTGCTTTCTGTATCATCTAGTTACCCTTTTAAGCAAACGCAGTGTATCCTGTAAGTACATTAAAATGTACTTTAAAATACTTTTGTTCATTTCAGAAAGCGTGAAGTAAAACTGAAGTAAATAAAGTGAAACTGAGTGGTTTCAGGATTTGCAATTTTCTATATTTTAAAAAAGTACTATGTTATTTAGAAATCAAAGATAATTTTTTGAAATATTATTTTATTTATATGGTTTACATTTATGCTTTCATGCAATAATTCAGTACTGGTAGAAAAAAGAAATATTACCATTTAAAGATAAAATATTTTATCAACATTCATGATCATCTTCAAGTGGACGTATCCTGTTTCATTTTCCATAAGAATCATGTTATTTATGCCACTTACACGGCATGTTTCATACGGGGATATAGGATTAAAATTTAAATTCATTTATTTAAAAATATCAGTTTTGTTTTCATGCAATTATAGATCGTCAACACGTAAATTAAATTTAATAACGAGTATAAACAAAAATTTACACCCATAATTTATTAAATATATTTATATTTTTTAATTTACAAGAGTTTTAGATGTTTCTGGACATATTTTGTCCAAAATTTATTAATTCAGGTTTTGGATTATTCATATTTTTTTTCCTTTTATGTTTCTTTTGGCTCTGGCTTACTAAAGCTCGCCTGTGATTTGCGAAACAGAAAGATTTATATTTGTTGCTTTTGAATAGATAGAGAATTCTTTGAGAACTGACTTTAGTCTAAGGTTGAAATTAATATAATTGTAAAGAAGATGAAATAATTTTTTTTTTTGTTTAGGACAAAATTTATCCACAGACATGTATTCTATACCAAATAAGACTTTTTTGTTTTGTTTTTAAAGTTAGCTTTTTATAAAGGTTTATTTTTTAAGAAGTTCATTTCTTAAACCACGATTAAGTACTAATGAATCATCTTCCTACTTCTTTTTGAGGTAATAGTGATTCAATAGTAACTGCATGTCTATAAGTATTTAATGAAAATTAAGAATCATAAAATTATTCAAAATGACGTCTGAGTTGTCAAATATTCTGACTGAATGCATCCTAAAAATAGGCACTGTGTTATTTAGAATTTTGATATATTGCACCTATAAAAATTTTCAAAATGAAGCGAATGTGGAAAAAAGAAAAAAAAGGTGGGTTTAGTAAATATGGAATATTTTTTGTCAAAACATATTTTTCTTTTTAGCTTTTAAAATACAAAGATTATGTCGAGAATATTAATGAAGCTTCCTGCTTCCCAAATTTAATCATATATTCCATAAGTCGCAATTCATTTAACTTGTTTTCTTCACATCAACATCTTAGAATCTAAAATCGGTTATTTTTTGTAGCAAAGTATAGAGGAGAATTTTTTACGCACACACGTACTTTTTTGGGGGGAAGCGGAGGCAAGAGTCTGTTGATAAATTTGATTTCAGTTGAAACGTTTTAAATACTTATTTTTAACGCATATCAGTTTCGATTAAACGAATTGAACAATAAAGTTAATAATAATGAATAGTTTTGCCAAAGATATCATTCATAATATTTTATGATTTTTGTATAATTTTTTAATAACTCTTATAATCAGGCAGTTGCGTTCATTTGATGATCGAATATGTATTCGTTTTAAAATCCACAAACTTAATACCTTACTGTGTTTTAAGACAAATTGAAATATTATTTAAATAAAAATGTTATTTTTGAATAGAAAGTTTCAGTTATGATACATTAAAAGCATTTGCCTCAATTATAGTACTATAATATGAAATTAGAATTAGAGTTATGCCATAATGTAAAGTTCAAGAGCAGCTGAATAAGGCATGAAGCCATTTAAAAGATATAAGTGTTTTAATTTTTTCTAAAAATGTACTAAAAAATTAAATGCAATTACTTTGTGATTTTCATTTTTAATTCTTTATTTTTACTCCTTATGCTTCTAACATCACAATTATCACACGAGTTTTCTCTTGTAATATACGCTGACACCAGTTACAGAATATTCGCATATCCTTCAGAGAAAATCGAATGAAATGCTAACTTTAGTAATTTAACTTTTGTAAATATTTCGATTCACTATTGAATGCTGAATATTCTCTAGTTATTTCTTTCTTTTCAAATAATTTTGAAATTTTTTTTTTATTATTCTTTATTTTGGATTTAGTGAACTATGGTAAGACATCTATTACTGCACTGCTTTCTAAAGTAGGGAAATCAATATTACTGATTTCAAATTCAATTAAACGGTCTTTGAAATGGCTTTGAATTTGTAGATGAAAATGATTAAATATGATTATTCTGAAAAGAAAAAAAGAGGAAATGAAAAAAAATTGAATTAAATACTACTATTGTTTCAATCGAGGAATTAAAAATTCAGATAAATTAATTTTACAATTTATTGATGCATTTAAATTTATAATGTGTTATGAAATTATTACATTTCTTAAATTGAATCCTATAGAATATTAAATAATAAATGGAAACGAATATAATAAGCAGAACAAAAAAATCATAAATATTTCTCTTCTACCTCGGACAACTAAATGAAAAAATAAATAAATAAAAGGGGGGTCGTTGAATTTACGAAGACGCACAGCTCTGTTCTTTGAGCTTGATGCATGCGAAACATAGAAGTGGTGGTGCCATCTGGTGGCACAAATGTGAAGCAGTAAACTAACGGTACAGCAATTAAAAAGTACACGTAACAATTTAAAGATGCGTAATATGCTAAGTATATTACTGTTAATCTCATAGCATATATTACTGTTCCTTTTTATTTTTCTTTGTATTCAACACTATGAAGTTTAATTAATTTCGTCGATAAATTATTTAACTAAATATTTAATAATTACAAAAAAACTTTTTAGTTTGGTAATAATATCCAAGGATTATTTGTAATAATATAAGCCTAAAATATAAAAATATACTATAAACATATTTAAGAATAAGAAAAGCTGGATAATTTAAATTCATTGAAAATGCTTTAGTATTTTTCGTCCACTAAATATATGTAGCGAGATATAATACTGACTGCGTCTTACCGCGCAATAATACAAAAATGTATAATACTGATTTTGCTTGTGATTAGATCGAGCACTGGAGAACGTAACGTTACAACTTGAAAAGACAAGAAAACAAATATAAAGAATGTAGGAATTTTTGTATTCTATTAGGTGAAATATCCCTTGTATATACATACAACAGTGTTAATGATATGTGACAAAATTAATAAGAAGAGTTACATTAATAAAACAGAGTGATATAATGAACTTAATTACAAAACTGCAAAACGTTACCATCTTAAAGGATCATCTTTAAAGCGCAAAAGTGAAAACAGAAGGTACAAGAAGCTCCACTCACCTCAATTAGGTGAAGTTTTCCATTGGTTGATCGCGTACAGAGCAGCATATGATTGGTGAAGAGGAAGCATTGACGAACAACTTCCGTCTCGCGTTTCCCCATTCTTGCTCTCTGAAGCTTGGATTTTTCACCTCCCAGTACCTGGATTACACTCCCTTAAAAATAATAGATTAAATTATTTTAATATTAGGAAAAAAGTAAGTAATGAAATAATGTAAGTAAACAAAAAGATAGATACAAACTCATCTATAACATTGCAGTTTAACACGTCTGAAAGCTAACATAAATTCATATCTCTGCGTGTGAAATATGTGATCGTAAAACTGAAATGATAATAATAAAAATAATAATAATAAAAAAAACGGAAATAATCCAAAAACTGTTGAAAAAATGAAATCGCAGAATTCGATGCGCATATTGAACAACTATTATAATTTAGTTCAGTGCTCTCCGAATAAAATCATTCTTCTGAAAAGAATACAGAAACTGTAGAACTTATTAAAAGGAAAAAACTGTAACAATAAATTTAAAATAATTATAGGAACTAAATGATCATTTAAAATTAATACGCAGTTAGAACTATAATTATACAGTACATTAAATTATATAATTACATTATAAAATGAAGGGTTACTTCTTTAATGGAAGTCATCGTTATTTAAACGGTACCACCGAGATTGTCAATACATCGTAAAGGTAAGTCGCAGATTGTCTCCAAACGGTCTGCAGTTCTAATTATGATCACTTATTTTAGCAGTACTACATTACGAACTATCGATAGGCAAAACAATTATTTTACGGAACTGGATCAGAATAATTCGCTCACTGAACTGAAACAGCTCTTTTTGATGACTCACTGCTCCCTACCTGGGTGAAAAACATCGAGAGTGAGGAGTGAAACATGAGCAATTAACAAGGCTATGGCAAAGAGCGGTAAGAATCGAAAGAGCAGTGGGATCGGGAACGGTCTGCGAGATCGGAGCAAAGAGTTAAAAGAATCGAATGAGCAGTGGGATAGGAATAATCGACTCAAACAAACGTTAACTCTCTGAGCTTATGTCTTTTAACTGTAGTTTTGAGATTTCCTAAAACATCCTTCCTAAACAGAACTAACAATGAAACTCTCGGATAAAATTGTTTTCAAAAAGATAAGAAATGATAAAATTAAACTCATTTTTAACGAGAAAGAATTAACATTCTTTTTTGTCTTAAAATAGGAACTGAACTTTAAGCTCTTCAGGGTGAGCTTTAAAAGACCTCCACTCATTTGGGCGAATCAGGCATTTGTTTGCTTAGCAAGTTCCTAAAAGTATTACCACATCTCTTTTCCTGACACACCTCCAACAAGAGTTCTCCATGAACTGTAAAAGACCTACCGCTCTGTTTTCTGGAATCAACAGTACATTCAATCCGTAAATCGAATAGGTTTTTGGAATGAATTCCGGAGCGAATCGTTCAGCTATTTCGGGCCCTTTTATTTAATGGACATTTTTACGTATTCGAATACGAGGTAAAATACTCTTTCTTGGACTAATGATCCCCACTACTTGGCTTGGTAAATCAAGTAAAATTGTTAATATTTTATTAAACACATGGCATTCTTGTGACAGGCGAACTATATACGACCTTGATTAAGACTGTCGGGCTCATGTTAATTGCTTTCCAAATACATTTGCACTTTGTCGATAATCTTGAATTCATTAAAACAGGAACCGTAATAATAAAGAAGTACGAAAGAGTGCTTAAACGTTTTGCAAGTTGCTATTCACTAGTACGTCACGACCAATATTTTGGGAATCACTAAACTAACTGATAATGAACTAAAAGGGCTTCTCTTTATAAATACATTTACGCATTACGGCCGCAAATACCTTCAGTAGCTCACCCTTTTGAAGTATAGCTTTGTGAAATAATTATGCCACTGTTGAATGTACACTTTCTCAATCATGAAATTATATTATATAAAGATAGTTTTGTTACTATTGGTAGTTTTACATAACAAAGAATTTGAATGGGTGTTATACCTCCTATTGAATTAATAAAGCTATTTAAAACTTGGTAGATTTTCTAATTTAAATTCTATAGTGGATTAATATACGTTGATTCTAAAACCCTAATCCTTGAAACATGTCTCCTCAGATTAAAACTTCCATAAATTGCATCATCTTGTAGATTTTGACATTTTTTTACACTGAATAAAAGCCTATTACGAAAACAGTATTAACGTTATAAGCATAATGATGTCATGAAAATAAAAATATAACTTTTATATACTCTACATAGAGCTAAAATTCCAATTATTAAATATTCATTTAATTTTAGTGAGTAAAAACCTAAACAGTGTCAAAAATTAAAGATTATTAAATATAAGATTGTTAATATTTTTATTATTTTATTTATTATTTACTTTTAGCATATCTATAATATTTATATCTAGTCTACATTTGTCATTTTTCTAAATTTATTTAATGTTTATTCTATATTCAGTGTTTTTATCATTCTTTTTTAATTTGGCTTAAAAGAACGCTCCTTTTACCTAAACAGGAACGCTGAGAAGATAAATATACTATAAATACGTTTGAGCAACGTCGTGCTCAGCTGCAGGAAAAATAAACTATATGAAATACAAAGAGAGGTGTTAAAGACTGAGATGTGAAGTAATATAACTGCAATAGTGCAGAAACGTGCGAGAGAATTAAAGTACACAAGGAATAATAATGTAATAAGGTCCTTGAAAGCTGGAAAAGCCAAGCTACATATAATATGGTAAATGTAATAGTATTTGTAAATGTTTGAAGCTTTTTGATCCAAGAACAATTCAGGTGCTTTTACATTGGTTTAATGTGTCGTGAAAAGTATGTTTCCTAGAAGAATGAAAACATTTGTCTGGTATATCAATCATAATGAAAAATAAATTATTACCAGATCTGGCGAGGCTAGAGCTACATCTTTGAATAGCATAATCTAGAAAGCTATGGAGTAGAGGGTAAATAAACGAGATAAGTTTCCCTGAATTTAACAGTTTATTAACACTGCTCAAGATGCATTTAGAAAACTCCAATACATTAATCACTAGTTTCTTCGCTCACAATTAAAGAAGATATGGATAAGATGACGATCCTAAGAATAGTGTTTATATGTCGACTAATGTCAGAATATAGTGATTTAAGGATCGATCAAAAAGTACAATTAATTCTCTTCAATGAATTATTATTCTAATATACAGACATTTTTATGCTACATTGTATACATATAATACTTTTAACAAATCCAGCTACAACTAAAGGATAACAATAATGATAAATACATATCAATATTATTCAATGCTTTGTATATCACTGTAATATTATTCGCTATATATTTGGCTTACGAAAATCTGTACTCAGATATTAATTTCGCAATCATTAGTCGCAGACCTCTACTTCTAATTACCAAATGTTTAAAATTAAACAAATATTTATGTTTTACATTTCTTAAATTAAAAAAATTATTAAAATTAAAAAAATATAGCGTGTTGTACGTTTAGCCGGTTCCTATATTAAAAACTTATTCCGTTATAAAAAATAAAATAAAATTGGTTTGATTTCCGTATGCCAAAATCTGATCGATATATTGCAATTTGAAAGTGGTGGTCATGCCCCGGAGTCGCACATAAACCGAAGAGTGAGATGATTGTCATTATACAGTGGGTAAAAAGTATTGAAAATTGCCTATAATTGATCAATCTAGCTATCAAAGGAAATGCTTGACAGTTGTAGCTGGATATAATGAACACAGAAGACAATAAAGACACAAATCTAATGAAAATTTCATTTTACTAGGCCTTTTACACACAATATACACCAAAAACGTAAATTTGGATGTCAAAAAAGTATTGGCGAGATCGGTACAGCAAAATGTGGGAACAAAATTTAATACTTTGTATTCATACCTTTTGCATTTATAACAACTTGTAATCTATTTATCGTAGAAAACATGCCATGTGTGTGTGTGTGTGCCATTCTTACAGGCTTATGTGCTTAAGTTCATCTTTACACAAAATTTTATGTTTCCTAACTTCTAGGTCCAATTTGTGCCATAAAATTTCAATTAAATTTATGTCAGGCGATTGAGGCGATGTCTTTAACTGGCGAGGAACGATATAGAGTAACTATTGCCAGGTGAGGTTCGCTGTACCATTAGGGTTATTATCTTGTTGAAACACAAATGGTGTTCATAATCCAAGTTTTTGGGCATCGAATTTCATGTTATGGCGCAATATATCAATATACGTGGAGCCGTCAAAATAACATCAATGAAGCACAGATTACCAATTCCGTTTGGCTACCATACAGCCGCAAACTACGACGCTCCCTCCAACATGTTTTACAGTCGGTGTTAAACGTTGTTTTCCCACTTCGGTGTTAGTCTTTCTCCACACATATTGTCGTCCATCTTTCTCGAAAATGTTAAACTTTGATTCGTCGGACAAAATAACTGTGTTCCGAAATTCGTCTGATAAATTAATATGAGATTTTGTAAAATCTAGTCTCTTTCTCCTGTTTATTTCTGAAATGAAAGGTTTCTTTCTAGCTGCCCTTGCGTAATAACTTCTTCCGTGTCACACACTCCGTATAGTCTATACACTAAAAGTTTTATGCGAAGTATAAGCAACATCTTTGGTTAACTAGGGTGCGCTTATTTTAGGGTTTTTCTTATTATCTTTGATAATGCCACGTTTTCCCTTTTAGAAAATATTCGAGGCCGTCCACTTCTAATCTTATTTTTCGTCGATCCTGTCTCTTTGAACTTTCTTACAACACTTTTAGCAGCAAATAATCTTATGTTCAGTTGTATTCCTATAGCAGGATAAGTTAAACCCTCATTGCTGAGCCGAAGAATCATGTTTTTAACATTAACATCCAACTCCTTCGACTGTATTAGCAGAATAACGTTCTAAAAGTTTTGAAGTAACACTGCAGACTTTATATTAACAGGGTTTCTTATCAGTTTAAACACTTGACCTCAACATAACAAAATATGCACAGCAGTTAGAACTTTGCCAATACTTTTTTCACATGCAAATTTACGTTTTTGTTCTATATTTTGTGTAAAAGGCATATTAAATTGAAAGTTTCATAAAATTTGTATGTTTATTACCTCCTCTGTTCGCTATGTCCAGCTCAAATTGTCAAACATTAGGTAATATGATCAATTATAGGAAATTGCAAATACTTCTTTTACCCATTGCATGTAACTAAAAATAAAATATTAGTTTAGAAAATTTCTAACATTAATAGATTAAGTAAAGAACATTTCTATACAGAATGCCCTAAAAAGTACTGATAAATACAAACTTTATCAAAAAAAAATTCTTGCAGAATCACAGAATTCATATTATAGAATATACCAGCAGGCTTTTGTAGTGATGCACAGCCAGCCAGCTAGTAATATGATTTGTGTGAATTATAAATTAAAAATATTTGTAATTTGATGAATATTTTTGTATGATTATTAGACAATGATTCCAAAGTAAAACTTCCTAAAAGTCATATATTTTTAGCATTTGAAAACTTCTAAATTACTAATATGAAACTTCTTTTAACATACCACTTGTAACGAAATTATAAATTACACAATGTTGTACACTAGTAAATCACAAAAGAATATCCTCCAATGGCATTTAAGGGAAAAGTTAACTTCGAAGTTTTCGAATTTATTTGTTAACCAAGTCAAGCTGGAAATGACTTCAAATATCTCACATTTTGGTATTTATCTGGGCCAGTGTTTATTCTACGGAAGCCGAATATTTTCTGTTTTACATTTTATAACGAGCATAAAACTTTCCCAAGAATAGCATTTCCTAAGCTTTATAGGAAAAGAAGATGGTGCAAAAATTTAGATTTTGCAACTTTTATATACTTAAAAATGCCAAAAAGTGGATATTTGCATTATTAAAAGCATTTTTACAATTGAAAGCACACGTCCATGAACAACGCTTATGAAAATAAACGCCAGGTAAGAACAGTTAGGTAAGGAATGTCAGGTACGGAAACGATGTATATTATTCACTACTATATTATTTATAATATATTATTCACTACTGTATTATTTATAATATATTTTTCACTACCGTACTATTTATTGTTCACATAAATGATCTGTGGAAGGAAATAAGACACATCGGATATGGATTTTATGCAGCTTTTTTTGGGTATTTGTGTTTGTGGTGTATTTCGGTTGTTTATGAAAATGAATGATTCAAAAACGAATATATTATTAGTAAAAGTAAAGTGCTTTCAGTTTTAGTATGTTTCAGCTGTGTAATGAGAATGAAATGGTGGCCTATACAGATATGTCACCTTTACTCCTAGTCTCTAACCAACACAAGCGAATAGAGAATACAAAGGTATTTTGCTAGTCATAAAACACTAAACACTTAAGTATCCAGTCTTATGCTATGAAAGGAAGTCAGTGTCCTTAAATGTTTTCCAGAAAGCTATCCTTCCACTTAGATTCTTGTGTGTTTTATGGTTTTGAAACCAATATCCAAAAGAACGGCATCTGTTAAGATGCTGACGTAAAAGTAGCATATTGAAGAATAAAAATATTTAGTAGAGTGAAAATCTTAATTAAGCTTACAGAATGAATATAATTTCTAATCGGATTTACTGTTATGAAAAACACTTAACATATAGTAAGGAAGAAGTTAAAGCTTGGGAACTCAGATCAGATAACTGATAGCGCAAAAGCTGTAAAGGCCCACCAACGGCCGAGTGGTAAAGTCCCTGAACACTGGTAGTTCGGTCCAAGTACGAATTCCGCGAACGGGCTTGGCTGCACGGGCGATTTCGTGGTTTTCCCAATGTGTAACGTGTTAATACGAGCCAGTTTTCCTTAGAAAGTTCTCTACGAAGGCATGCCTCACTTCCATGTAGTGCCTTAGGGTGGAACACGTAAATGATAATAATAATATTAGTTGTATTTTATTTTACAAAAAATATCCCTTTCGGAAGAAATAACGACTGCTTTGTTATACTCTTCTTTACATGTAATGTGTAAGACTAAAATATTAACAATGAATCAGTATTGGAGAAATCATAACATGCATCATATAAAAAAAAGTCAGAGGACCCAAGTTGAACAGAATTTTAGAAAGCTTGAAAATTATGAAAAGGAAGCAATTCTCTGGCAAACAAGAAATTATGGTTGCTCCAATTAATCCATTGATTTTGAGATATACCGAGGTTAGATTTGGTTTGACACAGTTATAGTGCATCTGAGAGGGAGGCTCCAAGACCTAAGCCTTTTACAAGCTTTTACACGGTTAAATGGAGCAGATCTTCCAGAGGCGGTCCAAGGAGGCATAACGGCCCTGGTCAACCCAGAGAGACAAAACTACAGACAGTCAATGGCGGTCAACTACAAAGAGAACAAAGTCAGGTCAAAGACAGTCCGCCAGTGTTGATTAAGGGGTGCCAAATCCCCCAAAATGACTTTCGCTATCAAACCATGTAACGTCCCCACCATCCCCACCACCAAGGGGCAGACAAAAAACTAAAAACAGACAATCACGACTTTAAATCTGGAATACATCAGTATTTTCAAATATTCACCTGTAAAAATTTACATTCGTTATGGAAATTTTAGGAACAGAAAAAATGCTAAAAAGTTTCGAACATTATAAGATTTTCTAGTTGATAGCAGATGATAGCGTGTGTACAAAAAAAGTAATGCATCTCATAAAATTATTAACGAATATACGGTGTTCAATCTTAGAATAATTATTGATTTGTGTTATATTCAAGTATGTTTAGTATTTATGATGTACGAACATAATAAAAAGAAACATACTTTACCTTGTCGTACAAATACCTGATTGACATCCAATAATATATCGCAACCACCTGCGATCATTCTTTCAGTTGCTAAATTCTTACGTATATTTTCGGTTTCGCTGACTTCATCGTGCATTTGCTAGAATACAAGTAAAATTTAATTTCATTATAGTATAAAGCACATACAACATCTCTGCGTCAAGTGTTGAATATTTATTCAGGTTTATTAAAAATTGAAGTTTTAAATTACAAGCACATTAAAAAATGAAATACATGTTTCAGAAAATTGGTAAAAAGTCACCAGTAGTGTAATATTTGGCGTGAAGGAAAACCTACTTACAACGTAATGAATTAGCAGGAAGGATAAGATAATTATTTTTCAATGTATAAAATAGAAGATGCATTGTAACACCTAAATAATAACAAATAGTGATGTTATCAGGGGAAAAACACTTTTTACAAGAACGGAGAAACAATACAAAACTTTTGCCATGTAATATTTAATCGCAGAGGACCTCCAATTATCTGAACTAACTGGGACCTCAACCTATCCAGATTTTCGAAAAACCCAGATTATGTTGTAATTTTTTGCAGGTCAAATATGCACTGACTATAATGCAGGTGAGGCACTTTTTTATATACCGTATTTTATGGAATTAAATGTTATAAAATATTTTTATTTATATCAAATGAAATCTTTTGTTTTTTCCTCGATAAAATTATGTTATGAAATCATTTTGATTTGTTTTAAAGGCACGACTTATTTTGTCTTTACACTCAAGTAAAGCAATGAAATCATTTTTATTTATATAATTTCGAAAACATCCTACTTGATCTTGCTTTCATTTTTATTTTTCAATATTAAACAAACAGGTTATTTTTTATTTGCGCAGATACGCCGTATTGAAAGAAAGAAGCTCCTTGTATGGAGATCACCATATGTTGTTTGTTTCATTATACTTAATATGTGTTTAGAAATGGTGCTGTTCATATGGCTTGCATTGTAAAGTAAGAATAATAGGATTGCATGCAATACTAAATACTTTTAATGTCTGTAGGGTTCATGATCATCCAGTATTGCAGAGTATTCTAAATATCATAAACTTCCATCTAAAGAAATTTAATAGCTTCTTAGAAACACATGTTGCACTCCGGTACCCTTTTAATTAACAAAAAGATTTAAAACACGTGTGAGAAATAACAAGTTTAATTTCAATTAGCCTAGGGAAAAGAATAAACGATCCGGATAAATGTGGCTCTGTAATGTCTGGAATCGTGAGGCTGGAGTTTTTCTATACGTACGAATAAAGCAGCTCTAAATTCAGGCGAGTAAGAAATCCTTTTTTAGTCAAACACAACTTTCTCAACTGAGAGCAATTCAGATAGCTTCCGTACTGGATCGAAGTCTCTCAGATTTGAGCAAGGTTACTATACTACAAGGTCTGGGCTTCTCGACTAACGTCAACCAGCACGGTGACGTCGACGTTCTTGATTCATTGATTTACCTTGAAATGATAAAAAATAAATAGAGATGTCTATAAATTCATTATAACAATGTAAACGCATTATTAATTTCGCAACAATTTCTTTTTCCACACTACCTAATATTAATGTAAGTATAATGTAAAAAGTAGCAAACGCTCTGTTTGGCTGTTTGTTCTTTCAATAAGATTCTTCGTTCGATAACAGATTCTTCGAACTTAAATTTTGGAACAGTCGAAAGTGATCACGCAGCAATTCTACAACGTATCTTCATAGCTGGCTTTGAGCAACAATTCGTACTTGAACGGTATTCTGTAAAGTATCTTATCTTTAAAACAAAGAAGTTTTATTTTCATGAAACAGTTTCAAAATTACTTAAATAGAGCATTATTTAAGAAATATTTTATTACCCTTGAAAGCTCTTCTAACTTCGCTTTGGCATTTTCTAACGATTTCCTTTCCACGTGATTGTGCGGCGTGTGAGCCAGTAGTTCATGAAGTGTGATTATGTAACGAGGTACCTAGAAAAGATTTCAGTAAAATATGAGGAACGATTTACAGGTTAATACAACTTTGCAAATTTCAAAAAGGGACTCAAATAGTTTTCGCGTCTTATTAAAGCCATTTCTACAATACCTGGCAAAAATTAAAAAGAATATATATTAAAAATGTCAAGATTTTGCTCTACTCCTAAATATAGCATTATTGACCGCAACAGTAGCTGAAAAAAATCCAAGATGATTCGAACGGCATCAATGTGCTCCGTTTCTCAACCATTACACTAAGTTTACAAAGATAAGTCAATCTCAGACATATATAGGCATGAATTACACACATATCCTCTGTTTACAGAAATACAAACAAGTGAATTTGGACGCATAAAATGAAAATTCAAATTCTATAAACTAATTTATAGAGAAGATTTATTTCTAATATACATAACAACGAAAGCTGTTAAAGAAAATAAAGTACTTCTGTAATATATGAATATATAACAATTCAAAATAATAAGATTAAATATGTCGAATCAAACTTATAAGGTATTTCTCCCGCTTTCCTAGCGTGCTTTCGTGGTGTAGTGGTTCTGCACGCTGGGCCGGCATTCCAGAGGTCCGTGGTTCGATTCCCGGCGAGGACGGTTGCTATTTTTCATCTTTCCTGTTTCCAAAAATATACCTAATGTCTCTACAGTGGCGTCCAAACTAAAAGGGTGTTGGATGAGGATTCTCCACACCCATGATTTGGCGATGGGGTCCCCTGAAAATCCCAGTCGCTCTTTAAAAAGGGGAATATATAAGGTATTTCTTCTGCTTTCCTAGTGTGCCTTCGTGGTGTGGTAGTCTGCGCGCTGGGCGCGTATTTCAGAGGTCCATGGTACGATTTAAGGCGAAGGCTTTACTCATTTTTCATCTTTCCTGCTTCGGGAAAAAATCCTAATATCTGTACAAGCTAACTTATTTCTTAACTTAACTAAAAAGGGAGAGTATATAAGGTATTTCTCCCGCCTTCCTAGCGTCCCTTCGTGGTGTAGTGGTTCTGCACGCTGAGCCGGTATTCCAGAGGTCCGTGGTTCGATTCCTGGCGAAGGCGGTTGCTATTTTTCATCTTTCCTGCTTCCAAAAATATACCTAATGTCTCTACAAACTCATTAAAGACCATAAATAAATTCAAAGTTAGTAACAACAAAATGAGCGAAGTTAAATATGTAAAAGAAATTTATATTATCAACTTATTTCCAGAAAAGTTTTTCTTTTGCACATAAATACCTAACATTTTAGAGCGTATACATAAAAATATATACATAACACATACAGTAATAAACATTAAAAGAAATGCTAAATATCATCAACAAATTTACAGAATAAAAGAATGCATTTTTGTTATCACTAAGATCATAAACATTTAGGGTCATTTAAAGCTCAGGCAGTTCAGGTTTAATTCCAAAATGTTTGTTTGCAGTTCAAGTACATTACAATTCCGGGCACTCAACCACATTCACATATCCTAATCAAGGATAACTTGAATCTGAAGAGACTGCTCGTGAAGGTCCTGTTTGCAAGACACTGTGTCAGCTCAAAATCAGTCATCAAGTGTTCATTTTTCATCCGACGCAACTCTGATGGACAGAATTGCTTACCTCATTGGATATATTAAGACAGTCATGATTACAGCTCTTGAGAGAAGATGTATCACTAATATTATTCCATTGCAATACTAGGAAGTTTTCCTCAGGTACAATGTCAAGTACTGCTCGCAGTTTTTGGCCAATATATTTACACATTCATTTTCTGCATCTGTTTGTTACAAATAGAGTAAATTATGTTTAAAAATAAAATTTAAGTGACTTAATTTAATACTCTAATTCCGTGAACAAAATTTATACTATAAAAATCGAGTGCCTATCCGTTTGTTCGTTTGTTTGTTTTGTGATATCATCCCTCTCGGAAATGACAAGGAGTTGAGCTTGGAGAGAGCTACCTGAGGATTCCAAACATTCGTGGGAACCATTTCCACCTTTCTTATCTTCGTACGACTTTAGCCAGCTTAGATATTAACTAAAACTCTGAAAACTTTAATTTTTGCATTTTTCCAAGTGGCAACAGTCTCATGCGCTAGAGATAAAAATTGATTATTTCTAAAAGTTTTGCCACTGCTCGCTTTCAAATAGTAGAGGTTGTTAATCAAAAATTTTTAAGTTTTGCAAAATATGCTATAAGAATAACATTTACAAACATTAAACATATTATTATTATATAAGGTCATATTCTGACGTTGAAGAAAGCAGGCGATTGCATGTGTATGTCAAAAACATTTCGTTAATGTCAGCATTTTCAGTAAATAACTGCTGTTCGTGAGCTTTTCGTTTCAGGTTTAGATGACTGTCACGATATGTTATTGCCATGATAATTCTTGTACTGATATTGAGAAAAAGTTATTATATTGCTCTTTAACCCTCTGAGCGGCGCAGGTATTTAGATCCGTCATGAACACTGGTATTTAAACACCATTTGTTAATTGAGTATGTATAATTACTTATTTCAGCCTGCATTTTCATAAACTTACATTCATTTAGATGATATTTACATTATTAAAGAAAGTAAGAAAGCAAAATATCTTAAATTATAAGCTAATATATACCAAATAGCAAAACTTGTGATGAACGGATAAAGCCACTCATAACGCATAAATTTAATTTAATTTACTCTTTGATATAAATTTTAAGTAATGATTTAGAGATACGGCTTTAATTAAGTTTTATTCGTACTTGCCAAAATATAAATACCATTATGTAATTTAAGGATCCTAAACTACGAATTTTTGCAATAAAAATGTAAAGTGCACTTTAAGTGAAAACTCTTTCGACAAATGAATTTCTACATGAGAGAGGAGAGACTTTTAGGGGAAGTATCGTAGCGACTGGAAGAGAAAACCGGAGGACATGTCTACATCTATTTTGTCATGTATCTGGCAGCGGTGAGCCAATCAGCTGCCTGGCAGAGCCCAGCAAGTGAGAGACGCCAGATGCATGTTAGCCTCAGAGGAGGCAGGTTGTAGGTTAATTATGTTGTAGGAGCGAGGTTGTAGGTTAATTATGTTGTAGGACCGAGTTTGCCTTTATTCTTTAAATGTTAATTTTCTTTTCATTATTCTTTGAAAGTTAAATTTTAATAACTGTTGGTGTCGTTTTCCTCATGGTGCCTTATTAATCCGCAAGGTCATTACAGCACGCTCTCTTACGAGAACCAGAGCTAACGAAGCCGTCTGGATTTTGGAGAAAAGGTGAGAAATTTTTCTTGTAACTTTAAGGAAAATTTCTTCTAAATATGTTTAAAGAAGTAGTTAAAAGTGATTTGATTTCAGTGTTGAAGGAACTAGGTGAAGAAGCCGATTCTAGTTTAAAAGTTGTAGAATTAAAAGATAAGCTTTTAAGTTCTAAAGAATATTTGAAAGATAAAGATTTTGTTATTGAATTCTTTAATACTACGGTTGAAGAAAGGAAAAAGTCAGAAGAAATTGGGAAATTGCGTTTAATGCAAATCGAAAGTAGCAACGAATCTAGTAATAACGTAGAAAATACACTTTCATTAGATAAGCTTTTGAAAGCTGTACAGGCATTATCGATTTCTGTACCTAAAAAGGGTGAAGCATGGAACTTATTTTTTGATTCCATAGAAAGGGCTTTTTTAAGCATAAGAACGTACCAAATGAGTTTAAGTCTGAAATTTTACTTAAACTTGATAGGTGATAAATCTTCTAATATTCTAGTATATATTAAAGATGATGATTTGAAAGATTATGAAAAAATTAAATCTTTAATTCTTAAGGAATATGAACCATCGCCAATTATATGTTTAGAAAATTTTCGCCAAGCTCAAAGGTTGACGGGGGAAACTCATTTGCAGTTCGCCTCTCGTTTAAGATCATGTTGGATCCATTATTGTAAAAGTAGAAACGTCAATGATTTTGAGTCTTTAATTAACTTAATAATTTCTGACAAACTTTTTTCAAACATTGGATAGTGATTTAGCGTGCCATGTTTGCAGTTTCGACAAGGTGAAAGTTGGCTACGTCCAGAAGAACTAGCGAAGGAATGCGACACTTTTTTCATCGCAAAAGGTAAATCTTTTGATGACATAAGAGGTGAAAAACGCGCTAATTTTCGTGATTCATACAACAAAAACTCTAAATATATTCCACCAGCGCTAAGAAAAGATTTAGTGGTAAATGAACAGAAACATTCGTTTAAACCGCGAGAATGTTATGTGTATAGTAGCAGTTTACATTTGGCTAAGGATTGCCCGAACAGGCGAAATAAATTTGAGAGGTCCAATAAACAGAACGATAATTTCCCGGTCAAACCGAAAGTTAACACTTCAAGTAAGTCGAAGGACAATGCGGTTGTTACAAATGTAAATTCTAAACATTTACAAAAACCCGAGTGTTCCGATGGAAAACTTAATTTTTATTCCTTGGAAAAGATTACTATTTACATTGCAGGGAAGCAAGTAGAAGCTATAAAAGATTCAGGTACGGAAATACCAATTTTGAACACTACATTAATTCCTGATTTAAAAATAGAAAGTAAGGGTAAAATCATTTTAAGTTCCGCATTTGGCGACGTCATAGAGGCAACGTTAGCAACTATTCCCATTTACAAAAAACCAAACAGTTGTCTATATTCGCGTGTAGAAGCTCTTTTCGCGTTTTCGCTAAATGTCCAATGTTTAATTACACCAGATGTATGGGATCGCATATTTGAAGACGAGAATGAATCAACAGTCTTCCCCGAGACGAAACCGGAAACTCATAAACAAAAACAACTTGAGGTTGGCGCCGTTGAACTGTCAAATGTAAATCTTTTTTATAGCTCAGTTGCGAATCAGAATGATGAAAGATTAAACAGTTATTCGGAATCGAATAAATTTAAGGTCGATCAGAGAAACTGCCAAACGTTAATAAATTCTTTTAAGGACGCAGAAGTAGGAAAGAATAATTTCTTTTTACAGGACGAATTATTATT